GTTCCCTCCCGGGGCCTCGCTCGCCCCGCCGGGCAGGGCCGGGCACGTCGGCCGCACCGACCTGCTGGTTGGTTTTTACCTCTGTTTTCCCGTGCCTCGGCTGTCCCCCTGCTGCGTAAGGAGCGGGCAGGCTCAGGCCCGGGGGCACTGAATGGTTGGGGACCTCCCCGCTGGAGCGGAGCCGCAGGGAGACTGGCAGGGAGCGGATAATCCGGGATTGAGAAGGAGCCCGACTAGCACCTGGCAAACAAGGCAGGAGTCACACCTTCACAAGCAGGGCTCAGATCAGCAGCGTTGAAATGCTGGTCTTTTAAATGGGCGCTGCCGAGTCTCGGGCTGTGTAGGAAAGATGTAGGTGGTTCTGCGATTCAGGACTGCCACGAAGTATCGGGTGGGTTGGGTCTAAATTGCATTTCTTAACCTTTGAATGCTTGACTTGGCAACATCATTGCAGGTTTAGCTTGTAAACTAGGTGGCTCTAAAGTGTTCATCTTTGCACAAGACTTGGGATTCGTCATTGACCCCCGGGAGCGAGCGCCCTCCAGACAGTTGCCTAAAGTGAGAGCGAACAGGTATCTGGGTCCTCCTGTTGCATCTCTTACTTCACATGGTTTGGTGAAACACTGTTTTAAAAAGGAGCGTGTTACAGCTCATCTCTCAATTTCTGCCTGGTTTAACAGCTGCCCCATAGCAAGTGCACGCTGACCCCTCTCCCCCACCAGGTGACCAAGCTATAACCTTTTGTCATTTTAACCCCCAGTATGTCATTTGGGTCAACTTTTTAGCAGTGATACTGTGTACAGTATTGTTTAAAACCACCCCTACAAGTCTTAGTAGCGTTGAAGTAGTGTCGCTGCAATGGTCCAGAACAACCTGTTTCCCTGGTGGCCCAGATGGGAGGTGCCAGTCCAAGTGTGGGCTGGATGGTGGTTCCAACCCAACGCCTGGGGCTGGCACAGCAGCTGCCATCTGACCATGCAGAGGGGGGCTGGGGGCAGCCTGGCTTGATCCCAACCCTGCCCAGGGGAAGGGGGCTTCACTCAGCCCTGGGGGGAGGTGGGTGACAGGAGGGTGACCCAGTCCCAACCCAGGTATGGCCCCAACCCACCCCCCATGGGAGAAAAAGGGGTATGGCCCAACCGTGGGGGGTGACCCAGCCCCACATGACCCTGCAGGGAGAAGGGGGTGTGGCCTGGTTCTGACATGGGGCTCCAGGCTTGGGAATTTGGCAGGGTGACCGTATTAATGGCCCCTGTTCCCCTCTGTCAAATTTTCCAACCCGTGAGGAGCTCCACAGGCCAGATGCGATGACTCTGTGGGCCACATCTCCTGGTCCAGGAGATTTGAGAAAGGCAAGAATTCCTGTGAGTGATATTTTTTATTGGACCAGCTGTATGGTTGGTATAGGCAAGCTTTCAACATTTCCTCCAAGCCATGGGCACAAGAATGGCTCTCCAATTTGCCAGCCTCTTCATAGACCAGCAGGAAAAGGCATTTTTAGCAAATTATGCCACCAAACCTGTATTATATCTGCACAATATAGATGGCATTTTCATCATCTGCACTAAGATACCTGGACATGCTTATTGACTTCCACACTAAGTTTAACAGCTAGTACTCTTCGGTCAGATTTGTTTTGGATATTCTTCACTAACGTCAACTTTCTAGACTGCCATCTACATCTGAGACGGCACCCTGGAAACTGCTATATACAGAATACCCGTGGGCCACCACACTTACACCCACAAAACCACCAGTCACCTGACATGTATCACAAAGGGGGTGATGTACAATCAGGCCCTTGGATACTACCACATCTGCTCTGAGAACACTCCTGACAATCATCTTGCCAAACTGAAAGTTGCCTTTACCCAGCAAGGAACCTCCAGCGGAGAAATAGACCTTATCTTTGAAAGAGCCACCCAGATACCCTACAACAACCTATTACAATACAAGAAAAATCCCCCAGTAACTGCACACCCTTGGTTGTCAACTACCTCAACCTATGGGAAGGATCATCAAACAACTACAGCCCATACTTGAAAAGGACGAGATCTTGAAAAAAATATTCCCAGCACTTTTGCACCAAATGCCCTCATAGAAATTATGTGGATGAAACCAGAGTAAAACTATGCCCCAGAGTGAATAACCATAAAAAAAAGATAAAGGACAGAGACACTAGAACACAGGAGAATATTTTTTCACAGAAAAATCACTCCCTGTCTGATCTTATAGTTTTAGTGCTCATAGGAAATCTCCCCAGCACTTGTACAAGAGGAACTGGGGACAAAAATTCATCAGTCTCTTGGACACGAAGAACCAGGGACTTAACATAGGTAATGACTTAATGGTCCTTTATAATCTTTTTGATACTTGCTAACCTCTACACTTCACAGGTCATAATAAGTAGGGATCCATGTTTTCTGTTTCCCCCAGGAAAATGGAAAAATAATGCAGGTTTTCCCTTTTAACTGAAAAAAAACAGCTGATTTTTCATTTTAACAGAAAAACATGCAGATTTTCCACTTTTGCAAAGAGCTCTCTGCAGGCTGGCAGAGTTGCAGCCTCCAAGGGGCTGGGGGGAGTGGGAGAAGAGTAGTCAGGCAGGGGGCGCCACATGCATGCGCACGCTCACACATGCACATGGTCGCCAGGCAGCCTGGAAAGCAGCTCCCACAGGTAAGACTGGCGGCAAGGGTGGGGAAACGGGGATTGAGGCCCTCAATGGGATGGATGGAGAGAGGGAGTTGGCTAGTGCTAGGGCTGGAGCTGTTGCCACTGCCCAGCCAGGGCAGTGCATGGGGCTTGGGGCCTGGGCCTGGAATGCAGGGCCCAGGCGGGGAGCAGGGCAGAAATGTGAGCAGCGCATCTGATCTGGGGGGGTGGAGTGGGTGGGCCTGGCTCCCTGCCACTGAGTGCACTCCCAGGGGAGAGCAGGGTGGGGGGGTATGTGCCCCCCAGATCTGTGCGTGGGAAGGAGGTGGGCTGCCCATTGCAGACTTGGGGCTCCCTGCCCTGCTGCCCTCCCCCTGGGACCTCTGCAGAGCAGAGCAGGAGAGGCTCCTTGCCACTGCAAATGGGCCTCAGAG